TGATGTGGCTCTGTGGCTAATGTGTCAGACTGCAAAGTCGTTTACACTGCAAGGTTGGTGGTTCAAGCTCACCAGCTGTTCCTTGGAAACCCTATACAGGATCGCTATGGGTTGGAATTGACTTGATGGTACTTATCAATATTGTTGTTGTTAAGTGCCATCAAGTCAATTCCAACCCACAGCTCTGGTAGCATAGTGGTTATGAATCGGGCTGCGAATCGCAAGGTCAGCCAGCAGTTAGAAACTACCAGCTGTTCCGCAGGAGAAAGATGAGGCTTTCTGTTCCCATAAAGATATACAGCCTCGGAAACCCTGTACAGGATCGCTGAGTTGAAACTGACTCCACGGCACATAATGATAACAACAACAATATATATATATATATGTTGTTAAGTGCCATCTGTCTATCTTCTATCTCTATGTAGCTATGTATCTAATGTTGTTAAGTGCCATTCAGTCTGTTCAACCCTGTGTAGGGTTTCTGAGGCTGTAAATCTTTACCTTATTGGAAAATTTCTTTCTTGTTGTGTTTGAACTGATGAGTTTGTGGTCAGCAGCAATTTTGTTGTTGTTAAGTGTCATGGAGTTGGCTCCCCTACAGGATTTCCGAGGTTATAAATCTTTGTGTGAACTGTAAATTTCATTGTTCTCCCACACAGCAGCTGGTGGGATCTTTGTTGCCAACTTTTTAAATTGAGAAAATCTTAAAGATTTCAAATGAAAGCCCAGATCTCCAGCTTCTTTGGGATTTGGGAGAACTGAACTACCAGAGAGAGACTGCTGGCTGGAAGTGACTCAGACCGCCCAACAATCCCCTTCTCTTACAACCAACCCATTTTTCACAGCCCTGCAACCAGCCTGGCCCTGAAGACATGGATTTGTACTGCTGTTCAGATGTCCTTGTGCTGAGGAGCAGAGTGAGACACAGGGAAGGTCACTGACCTCCCATGGTCACCCAGCAAGACAATGGCAGAGCCCAGGTCTTGGGACACCTGGCCAGTCCTCTCCACACAGTGCTCAGCATGCAGTAAGCATCTAACACTGGCCATCAATTGTTGGAGCCCAAATCTCAGAAAGCCAGGGGGAAAATGTCACAGCCCAGTTGGCACCTCATCCAAGAACCCTTTCCTGACCATCTGGGCTAATGCCATCCTCCAATTTTAATTTCAGCCCCTGCCTCTCTATTTCTTTCTGAGCTTTGTTTGTACTTTATACTTCCCTGGTGGCACCGTGGGCTAGGCATGCATTGCTAACTGCAAGTTGATGGTTCAAATCCACCAGCTGCTTCTCGGGAAAAAGATGAGGTTGTTTGCTCCCATAAAAATTTGCCATCTCATGGTGTGTCCATGTAGGATAAGGAACTGGACCACAGGTCAGTTTGAACTGCAAGGTGAGCGGTTCAAACTTACCAACTGCTCCTTGGAAACCCTATACAGGATTGGAACCGACTCAATGGCACTAAACACTGACAACAGCAACAAGGACCCCTATGAGTTGGGAATCAACTTGATGAACAATGGGTTGCTCTTTTACCTAACACTTCCTTTTGTATATTTACTGGCTGATTTGCTTTCTGTCTGCTTACCCCTCCTCTTTTTAGCTCTTAGAGGCTCTGTGTATCTCCAGGGTCTAGGGCACTACTTGGTTTTAACCGCTCAGCAAATATTTGCAGAGTGAAGGACAGCTTAGTTGCTGATACTTGGGAGAAGGGACTCAGAGTAGAATGTGACTACTTGTTACCTTCCCAACTCCTGGCTCCTGTGTGGCCACCCTCCCTCTTAGGAGCCCTCGCTGTGGTTTATCTGGCAAATTCTGCCCACCCATCAAGACACAACTAGGGTGCTGGATCCTCTAGGAGTCGGCTGCTTTCTCCCACTTGCTCCCTTGGATGGCAATGCTTTGCAACGCCTGGTGTGGGGTTGGGGTTAGCATCAGGTAGCAATGTCTCCCCAGCCCCTAGAGCATGGGGCAGAACATTGCCTGAGGTTCCAGCAGAGCTTGCAGGGAGCATGTGTGAAGAGAGACATGGGCAGGTTTGTCTCACCGCGTCTTGGTTGGTTTTGTGGTAGAAGGCTTGTCCAAAGACAGCCATGACGAACAGGTTGATGAAGAAGGAGACAGACAACGCAATGCAGGCCTCGATCAGGAAGTACATGTTAGCTTCTCGGACGTCTGCCCGGTGGGTTCGGTCAATCTCTCGAGACTGTGGCAGGCAGAGAGGAGAAAAGAATTGATCAGAGTTAGGGTCACTATGAATTGGAACCGACTCCACGGCATATGGCAGTCTCGGACAGGCTGGTCTGTGACTCCTTTCCCATATCTCTGCCCTTGCCACAGGGCCAGAAGTGACCACCTGTGTGAAGGAAGGCTGGCCTTCGAGGCCCGTGTGTCCTGATCCCTGCCTTCTCTGCCCTCAACCCTTGACATTCTGGTTTTAATCACATGCTCTGGCCTCCTCAAACATGCGCAGTTCATTTCTGCCTCAGGGCCTTTGCACTTGCTGCCCCATAGCTTAGAATATCTTCCCCCTGGATCTTCCTTCCCATCCTTCAAGTCTCAAATGTGGCCTTTCTTGACCACCTTTTCTAAAGTAGCCTCTCCTCAATCATATGATCCTTCAGGCACCTGTCACTCACAATCATTCTTTCTTTTCTTCATTTACCTGCTCATCATCTGTCTCCCCAGCTAGAATGCAAGCTCTAGGAGGTCAGGAGCCTGATCTTTTTCCTCATTGATTCCCCAGTGCTACTATATGTTGAATAAATCGAGGCTGTTTCACTTCCCACCTAACACAGACAAATGACAGTGTTCCAAGCTTTGAGGCAGAGCCAGAAAGATGCCTAGAGGTGAGGGCATCTCTCCCTCCCCTGCCCTCTGCTCACCTTAACCAGGGAGGAGTGCAGGTAGATGTTGTGAGGCATAATAATGGCGCCCACGATGCCCACAGCTTGCAGCAGCTCACGCTGGCCACAGCCCGGACACAAGGGCAGGAAAAGGCCCTGAAGGAGTGCTCCCTGTGCAGGGCGCGCCACCACATACTGTGGAGAAGAGCCTCATCAGGTCAAGCCCCAGACTTAGTCCCAGCCCACCCATCTCTGAGGTCACCAATTCACATGCTTTCCCCATTCTATTCCCTCATAAGGTCAGGCAGCTTCTGTATGTGTCTAGCGGTTGTTTCCCTGCTTCAGGCTGTGCAGGGGAGCAAGAAAGGGTGACCTTGGGTGTGTTTACTTGTCTGTCTTCCCACCTCATAGCCGAAGGTCAAGGCCATAATAGTAATGAGGAATCCAAAAAAGGCTTCCAGTTTCCGCAGCCCTAGAGGGAGGGCAAAGGGGCAAGACAAACAATTACAACAAGTATTAATGGCTAATATTTGTGAGCACTTTGTATCAGACACTGTGCCAAGTATTAATATATGCTACCTCATTGCACCCTTACAAGATCCCTCTGATGTCTGTGTTGTTATTATCCCTGGGTTATACATGAAGATATTGAAGTCTGAGAAATGTTAAAAGCTGGAGTGTTTGAATTCAGATTCGACCCCAAGCAGCTGGACTCTGGAGCCCTTCTTCTCCAGCATAAGCCAAGACCCAGCAGAATTCCTATATTAACACGCCCCTGCAGCTCAGCTCCCCAGCCCCCACCTCCAATTCTGCTAGGAGACCTAGATGGATGCCCACCATAATTATCGAGGAAGAGGAAGAAGAAGGTGTCCACGATGGTGATGAGAACGCCACCCCAGAGTGGGATTCTGAAACCAGAGGGGCCTGGGTCAGCTCAGCATAGACGGGGGGGCCTAGAACCCCCACCCTCAGTGTGGAGACTGGAATCCATCAGTAGGTCCCAGTCAACTAAGAGGAGCGTGGGAGTGTACTGGGGATGGAGAAGGGCAGAGCTGGGCGGGGGACCCAGAGTAGCAGGGAACTTTGGACTGTGGTGCAGAAGTCTGCAGGACTGTGATTTTAGACAAATCAGTCCCTTGTAGAACCTCAATTTCCCCATCTGGTAAATCGGAAAACAGTCCTATGTCAGAGAGGGCTGTAGGACAAGGTAGATTATTGTCTCCAGCCCTGGGCCGCATAGCTGGAGTTCCTTAGGGCAGTACCGTTTAGCTGAGAGCAGACTGAATGCAATAGCTGTGCCAATGACCTCCTGCATGTCCGAGCCCACAATGGCCAGCTCGATGGTCAGCCAGAGGAGGATGCGGGGTACCTGTGAAGGAGGAGGCAGCCCTATTGGAGACTGTACCAGTTATGCTTGCCGTCCTTCCCCTTCCACACTCATTACTACACTGTTGGGCAGGAAACCTGCAAACTATGTTTTCAAGACAACTTTGCTAGTTGCCATCGCTTCGATTCTGTAGGAAACGTTTATGGAGGATTGAAAGGGTGGGGAGGAATCCTTTTCCCCCTGCTCTGGTGGTGTTTCAGCATTGGTGCTGGCAAAGGCAGCAGCAGCAACACTGTCGGTCATTTCAGCAGTGGTGGCTTCTAGAACCTCAGTAGTAAATGATGTTCTTGGGCTTCTGCCCAGGAATAGCACAGTTCCTGATTTCTGGGAAGCATTCCATTCCCTTGTTCCTCTAGTCATCTAACATCTTTGCAACTAAATACCTGCATTACATACCTTTGAAATCTCCAGTGGCTTAATTTCTGTTTACCTGAGTGAAAACCTAAACCAAAGCCACTGTCATCAAGTGGATTCTGACTCACAGTGGCTCTTTAGGAGGGACTAGAACTTCCCCATAGGGTTTCTGAGACTGTGAATCTTTATGAGAACAGACCGCCTCATCTTTATCTCAAGGAGCAGCTGCTAGGCTTGAACAAATTGCTGAACAAATCCAAGCATCACTCTGATGCCCACATTACCCACTAACCATACCTATTTTTCTCCTTGGACAAGCCACTCCTGCAGGTTTCAATTTCTCCTTCTGCAAAATGATCATGGTGTCGCTAACATTCCTCTCTCAGTCTATGAACTATTATTAGTATGAGCCTTAGTCTTCTCATCTGTTAAATGGACGTGTGACACCCACATAAAAGATGGATTTGTTTGATCATGGAAGCTGTAAATGATTGGTCAGGGTTTGGATCCTGTGACTGTTTCCTGGCTGGGTCTACCAACCTCACCTTCGGGTAGTAGAGATGGCAGACCTCGCCCAAGTCCTTGCCTGTCACCACGCCTAGCCGAGCTGCCAGCCGCTGGCAGAGCAAGCCCAACACCGTGGCCCATAGCAACACCCAGAGCAGCTGTGGAGACGGAGGGAACAATCTCAGGTGACCTGAGCTGGTGGGTCAGTCTAATAAGAACATTCATTCCTTAGGGAGACTAGGTGGGGGACATAGACCAAGAAGACCACTTCAACACAGATACCCCACCCTCAGCAGGGCCTGCCTGGGATCCTTTATTGGCCCATCTTGAATTTAACACCAGCTCCCTGGAACCCCATTCATGCAGGCCACACTGAGGAAATGAGCAGCTCTACCCACTCTGTCCCCCCCTGCCTCCCCCAGGTCCCAACTCAGTCACTTTGAATTCCGCCGCGGCACCAGCTTGCAAATCTGACTCGATGTTTCCTGGATCCAGAAAAGCGATGCTCATGAGAAAGCCAGGCCCCGTGAAAGCCCATAGTTTCCGCAGGCTGAACTTGCCCTGGATGGGAGGAAGGTGAGGGTTCTAGGTCTGAGTGGGCAGCTCCCAGCCAGGCTGCCCAGTCAGGCCTTCCAATCCCTTTCCTGGGGTTGCCTGCCCTCGTATAGACCAGGGGAGGTGTGGGATGTGAGGACCCACAGGATTTGCAGAGTCACCATGGATCTGCTTTCTTATCTGTCACGTTCTGCGGTTTGTACCTGACCAGACAGATGACTTCTCAAAGGTCCTGACTCAACAGAACCTTAGAGCCACAGAGGGAACTTTTTAGGCACCATGTCTTCCTGACGCAGTTTCCCCTTTCAGTGTCCTCAGACCACAGGACTTCCTCTCTGGAGCATTGAGACTAGGGGTCCCTCTAGCCCCACCCCCATCTAGGACATAGCATCTGTAGAAGATTCCGGTAGCGTCCCAGGCATTTGCCTGCAGCCTCCTCCCTGCCTCCTTCTCTGGATCCTTTCTTCAGATACCTGAAGCTCCAATTATAATTCACCTTAGGTCCCTTTCCCTTCACAGGAAAACCAAGATTCATTCTGAAGGCCATTTGATAATTTTTAGACAAATAATGAACAGTTATCCCTGAGTGCTTCACAACAACAACAATAATCCCTAAGTGCTGGGGACAGAAGCAGGAAGGGACCAGTCATGGTCACAAGAAGACGCCCCCTTCTCAACGCCCCCCCCCCCCATCAGCCTGTGAGCTTCTGTAGGATCTCATTGATCCTGAAAGACCCCAAGAAGTTTTCAGCTTTCCCACCGGTTCTGCATGTGGAATGGAGATCTTCTCACTCAGATAGGTCTCTCTGGGAGGCACTTGCTGTGGCCCTGGGCTGGGTGCATTGGAGATGGAGCCATAGCTTGACCTCCTCTGTCTTTGGGGGCCTCTGTCAGCTGCAAGGGGACCCATGAGACATGGTGAGTGACCTGCCTCTTTCCAGAGCCCCATCTGCTATTGCCCCTTTGCTTCCTAGCCAACAACTCAATAGAAGTCCCACTCTCATCCTGGGTCCATCACCTCCAACTCTCAACCAAACTTTCCGACAGAAGATCGGGGGAGTGGGTGCTCTAGAATTACACTCTCCTCCCCTGTGAACAGAGAGATGCCCAAATCCAGACCTCTCCCTCCTGGAGGATGGGGAGAGAAACACTCCTCTGGCATTCCTGCCTTCTCCAGCAGCCGAGGAAGCAGAGGGATTCCAAGATTAGACAAGGAAACCAGGGTCTTGGGAATAAGAAGAATGCAACCTCAGACTGGTGACCCAGGGCACTGCTGCCCTGGGGGACCAGGGCCTTCCTCTGCCTCCTGAGTCTCCCTCAGACCTGGGCCTCACCCCGACCCTGGAGGTGTCTGCTCACCTGTCATGAGACCAGCAGGCCTTAGGTACACTCTGAATATGGGTGATGGGCTAGGCTTCTCTTCAGCCTCGGCTGCTTCTCTGTGCACTGACACATGTGAGTGTGTGAGTGCTCATTCTCAGCCACGCACAGGCGGTCCCCTTATTTCCTACATCACCACCACACACTGACACACAGGATGTTGTGAAACTCTCCAAAGGCAGAAGTGACCTGCTTGGGTGGAAGGGTCTGGTCACCCACAGCATGGAGTTTTGTTCCCATCCTATGCCCTATGCCCCACTTTACCTCTGGCCCCTTTCCAGGCGACCTGTGTTCTGTGACTCCAGAGTTAGAACTGATTTCAGTCACTTCCTGCCACTCGGGCATTATGTATAGATCAAATGACTGGCATCCTCCCCTTGTCCTCTTAAGCATGCATTTCCTCTCCTCTTTAACCCGGAGCTCTATAGGTTGGCCTAATGGGAAGGAGTCCTCCTGGCTACCTAGACCTCAGATTCCTGTCAAGTGGTTTCGAGGAAAAGTCTTGTGGGCACTGCTGTAAGAACCGGTTAAGGAGTTCCTCAGACAAAGGGAATGCTGGCTAACAAGTAAAAAAAATTCGATGCCTAAGGATGTTAGGCAGGTAAGATAAATGATGAGACAGGCTGGGAGAAAGGAACAGTGCCAGCGGAGTGTTGGATGGCAAAGAATGCTGGGATTCAGTGATGGGGAAGATAGGGAATGGTGGAGACTATAGCCAAACTGCGATCTGAAGAGGACCGTGCCAAAATGTGCCAGCCAGTTTTGTAGGGTTAGAACATGGATTCAGGAACACCTATCTTATGATTTGTCAAGGATGCTGGAAATTTGAAATTTGATATGACATATGATCCTTGAATACAAGAGTGTACTTTGCAAAATTTGTGGAAAAATAAAGCTAGAAGATATTAGAATTTTCCATGAACTTTTTAAAGCCCCCCTTTATTAGGCTCAAAACACTGAAAATGCTGTGCAGTTCAAACAAAGCACATCTATGGAATGGATTCCATTTGAGACTATCAGTTTGAAACCTTGGATTAAATTGCGAGCAAGAGCCTTCCTGCTCTCGTTTTTTTCCTTGTTAATTCCTGCACACCAGTTTTCTCTCCCCCAGGGTCTTCTCCCTGACAGGTTCACTCATGCCCCTGATTTTGTGGCCTCCCTTTTCGGCCAAGAATGTTGAGAATCTAGATTGTCGTGAGGTTTTCATCCCCAATTCCTGAGGCCTCAGAACTCAGAGCAAATAAGAATCGGTTCTCATACCCAGACTTAATCTGAGATATGATTGACCCTTTACTGAGTCCTGGTGTGGCACTGTAGGATTCACACTGGACTGCTAACCACAAGGTTGGTGGTTCAAACCCACCAACCACTCCTTGGAAACCCTATGCAGAGTTGCTATAAGTCAGAATTGACTTGAGGGCACTTACAACAACAACATGCTGATTCAAATAATTTAGACAAGGTTTGGGAGCCCAGGGGAGAGAGAGGAAGCCCATTTCTTGGGGTCTCATGAGCGGGAGAGTTTGGAGGGCCTATGGGGTGGGGACATGGGAAGGAAGTGGTTCCAGAGAGGAAGCAGCGGCATCATGGTTTGTCATGGGGCCACCGGACTGTTCAAGATACTGTCATCATCCCTGTCCTCTGGGGTGTGTACACGTTTCCAGTCACTGTGTGGGGAAGCCATTCAATTACATAACAGCAATATCTACATGTGGGGAAGGCTAGGGCTGGGGATAGGCTATTTTTGTCTTCACATTCCACAGTTAAGAACTCAGTGAATACATTTAATTAATTACTGATCAATACACTGCAAAATCTCCAAGGTAAGATTTAGCAAATATTTAAGAGACGCTCTGGGCAGGGTATCAGACAGCAGGAAGGTATATGATAAAGACTTCTGGAAGTTCCCTTGGATCTATGGCTGAATACTAAATCTTGCAATGAGTAGGAGACGAATGGACAAACAATTCCCAGGCTCACATAGGGTTTGGAGGTGTTCAAGTTCTGACTAGCCAGATTGGAGAATCCTTGTTGAACTCCTGGCACATTCAATAAAGACCTCAGAAAAGTCACACTTTAATAGTAGGGTTCAACTATTCTGAGAGTAAAGGGTGTTCTACAGCTACTCTAACAAAACTTAAAACAAGCTCTGAAGTATCAAGGTGCTCTACAAGTGACTTGACTGCGTGCTAGACCAAAGTCCAACACTTTTTACAGAAAAACAAAAGCAAAAGAACTAGGACTCAGCAACGGAAAATCCACACTATTCAGTATCCAATTAAAAATTAATAGACATGTGACTTTCTGCTGCTCCTCCCACAGTGGCACCTGTGAAAAAGTGTATGGCAAAAGGGATGGAAAAAAGCATGTTCTGAAGTTCATTCTTGGCTGCACCCACCTTGAAGAATATGGAATTGTGGAAGCTGCCAATTTTGAACAGTTTCTTTAAGACAGAAAGTGAATGAGAGAGCAGATCATCTTGATGGAGGTGTTGCAACCACTGAAAACAGCAAGGGCGGCATTACTGTAACCTCTAAGGTGCTTTCTTCAAAAGGTATTTGAAACATCACACACACAAAATACTTAAAGAAAAATACTCTACATGATTGATTGTAGTTGTTAACAGCAAAGAAAGTTATGAACTACGTTATCTGCAGAAGAGGAAGAAAATGAAGATGAAAACTCATTTACCTGGACTTGTTGTTAAATGCTGTTGAGTCAGTTCTGACTCAGAGTGACTCTGTATTGAATTTCTGAGGCTATAAATCTTTAAGGAGCTCTGGTAGCGTAGTGGTTATGGATCAGGCTGCAACCCTCAGGGTAAGCAGTTCGAAACTACCAGTGGTTCCTTGGGAAAAAGATGAGGCTTTCTGCTCCCATAAAGATTTATAGCCTCGGAAACACTGTACGGGGTCACTATGAGTTGGAACCGACCCCACGGCACATAACAACAACAACAAATCTTTAATGGAACAGAAAACCTTATCTCTCTCCTGTGGAGCAGCTCAGAGCAGCAGGTGGGTCTAAACCGCAGCCGAATGCCTGTCCTACAGAACCACCATTTGTCTCTTGTACTTCAAACATGTTGTCAGGAGGGACCAGTCCTTGAAGAAAGACATTATACTTTGTCAAGTGGAGGGTCAATGAAAAAGAGGACGCTCCCCCAGTGAGATGGAGGGACACAGTGGCTGCAACAGTGACCTAAAACAGCAAAAATTGTGAGGATGATGCAGAATCAGGCAGTGTTTTGTTCTGTTGTGCATAGGGTTGCTATGAGTTGGAACTGATTTGACCACACCTAACAGCAACAGTCTGTTCTTAGTCGGAGAGCTCTTTTGAAAGCTCTCCACCATGGGTGACCCCTGCTGGTATTTGAAACACCAGAGGAATAGCTGCCAGCATCACAGCAAAACACAAGTCTCTACAGTACACTGTGGAAACGGCAGACATGTTTCCTGCAGACAGATATTTAGTAGCTCGAGAACACCCTTTACTCTCAGATAGTTGAACCTTACTGCAAACAGACATTTATTAGTTTATCATCTCTATTAGTTTTATCATCTCTGTAATTTCTGGTTTATTTCTTTTGGATGATGTTTTCTCCTCATTATGAGTTATACTTTTCTGCTGTTTTATTGTTGTTGTTGTTATGTGCCGTGGAGTCGGTTCCGACTCATAGTGACCCTGTACAGGGTTTCCGAGGCTGTAAATCTTTATGGGAGCAGAAAGCCTCATCTTTCTCCTGAGGAACAGCTGGTAGTTTATAGGTCAACTGATTTTTTTCTATTAGACATTTTTATTTCTGTAGGAAGAAAAAAGGGACTACACATAACAGTTTTGTCAAGAATAATTTGTAATAGGTCTCCTTCCAAGATTAAGACTCAAGGGGAATACACGAGCAGACATGCAGTCTGACTGGTGACCACGTTGGTCACTGATAAGAGGAAATGAGGGAAAAATAGCAGTGAAGCTGCAAGCTAAGTCCGACCATAGTCAATAGACTCCTGTGAACCTGAGTGGAGACCTGGTTGGCCAGCAGTATGGCAAGACCTGGGGACTCCTGGGCCCAGAGTCAGTGACATAACCACAGAGGACTAGAGTGGAGAGTGAAGCATCCAGCTGATAAGAAGTGGGGGGATTTGCACAAGAACATCCACACTTGCAGATAATACCCTCTTGACCTGGATTCAATGGCTGGAGGGTCAGAACTCAACTACAAGAAGAAAGAAGAGGGAAAAAAAAGTAATCTGATACAATTTGATGAACTTGACCTACACCTATGGATGCAGTAGCTCAAAAGAGGAAACAAATCCTTACAGCGAGTATATTCTCATCCCCTCGGTACACAGGGTAGACAGGGATGGGCCACCTGGACATTGGCTACCCAAAATGGGGGGACTACAAAGACAAGAATGACTGGTTTACAAACTTTCAAGAAGGAACCTAGATCCAGAGGGCACGGAGGAAGGTAAAATCTCCACTGAGTAGTATCCCACCTTTCTGAGCTGGGCTGAT